GATCAGCTGTACGAAGATATTTCGTACACATATACAAATAGGGTCGTTTCAGATCGTTTAAGTAAAATCGTCCAGGATGATCCACGATCGTACAGGACGATCCATTGTGTACAGAATTGAAAACTTGCAGTTTTTTGGCGGTTTTTCTTGTCTTTTGTATAAATAGCCCAAATTAGACTGCCACCCAATCTTTTTGTCATTTGATCTTCGTGCCTCTTGAGAGAATAGCCAAGGAGAGAAGTGAAGAGAGCATTCAAGGGAAGATTCCTACCATAGAAGCAAGAAGGCTTCACTTGGATTTCAAAGGTAAGAGTCTCTACTTGTGAATTGGGATTACTTCACTCTTTTCCTTCTTCCTTCTAGATTCTTGTGAGAAGATATGTCAAGGAGATCCGGTTCTCTGACGACACTTGGAGAGTGTGAACAGCCGAAAGGTTCTCTGCCTACACTTGGAAAGTGTGAACAGCCGAAGGTTTCTCTGCCTACACTTGGAGAGTGTAAACAGCTGAAGGGTTCTCTGCCCACACTAGGAGAGTGTGAAAGGACGACGATTCTCTGCCAACACTGGGGATTGTGTAAAAGGACGGACGATTCTCTGCCGCACCGGGGAGTGGTGAAAAGAGTGTGTTGTAAAGGCTTCTCCGCCTTGCTGTGGGTGCAAAAGGAGAGTCACTATTGGTATTAGTGCAATACTCAGAGGGTGTGTCTGGGGAGTGGATATAGGTCTGGTTTTAGACTGAACCACTATAAATTTGGTGTCATTTTCTTTACTATTTTTACGTTTCCGCACTTTAAATTTTAGTTTTAAAAACTCTGTGGTTGAAAAATATTTTTTCTACAAAATTTAAAAAGAAATTTTTATTTCGGTTCAATAATTTTCAAAAGGGGACTTAAATTTTTAAACTACCAATTCACCCCCCCTCTTGGTAGCCTTCGGACATTCACTTAGGCTTAACAACCTAATTACTAGACTCAACACAACCAACCTCTAAAATGGTAAATATAGGCTCTTCATCACACTCAGATTAATCATCACACAAATGTTCATTAACATTACAAAAATATATAATACATAATAACAGTGAGTGCTAGAAGAAGTAGAGCAAGAAGGAACATAAGATCAAAAGTAGCAAGAATAATCTTCTTCTATTATTTCAACTTCAGTCAAAGGGAGAACAAAATCGTTCAGCATTAGTGCTGGAAGGGGTCTCGTATTCCCCTCTTAACTTACAATAATCTCTTCTCCTTCATACATATTTTTATTACATGAAGAAAAAAAAATTGTGTTTAGCAGGAACTACAATAAAACAATGAAAAGGAGCTGGCGAAGTAACTAGTCTAGCAACAGTCAACTTGGCCTAGGAAGGCCTCCTCTTAACTGCCTCTGAACTCTTAACTACTTTTTTTTATCATAATCTTTATCATATAAGAGAGTGTTAGCTGTCACTCCCCCTTAGAACTACGAAGTGATCTACTACCATTGCTCTCATTATCACTCTAGTTATTACTATGGCTGGAACCTGAGATCATCTAAACAATCTGAGTGGCCTTGCCCTGGGGCTGTACTAAATTACTATCTTATAGGTATATCTTCCCATTTCCCATGAGTCTCTTAACTCTATTCTTGAATACATAACAACCTTCGATGACATGCCCAATATGTCCATGGAATAGACAATAAAATGGATGATCCATCTGCCCCACTTCTTCCACCTTATTATTTGTTGGGAATATCAAAATATTCTTCTTAACTAGGAATTAAAATATCTTGTTCACACTCTCCCTCTTAAAGAGGGCTTCCTTGCTAAGCTTCTCTTATAAGTACTACTAACTCTTTAGAGTCCTACATGAGGGTTTAGAACGTACTACCGACTGACTAGGTGTGTACGATGGTTGATATGGTACTGAACTAACCACGGGCTTAATTCCCTTGTCTTGTGGCTCGTAAGTATTATGTACCTTTCCTCTCCTAGGTAGAGGTGCCCCTAAAAACTCCTACCATTGAGGTCTACGTGAGGGTTAACTCTCAACCTTAGGAGAGAATGCAACAGGTATGATATCCTATAAATTGATCACCATTTTTATTAACTTTTAGAAGGTTATAATATTGAAACCTTTTAAGTAAGGAGCTATAAGAACATCTATATTTTTCAGTAAAATCACAACATCAAGATGCTCCTATAATTTAGGCTCACACAACAAACTGATGTTTCTCCATCTAATTATATAATATAATAAGGTCTCATTGGGGGAGCTATCTGGCTATAACTAACTCGCCTACTCTGACTCTGTTCTTGTCACTAAAGAACCTATGAATAAATAAATGCTAGAGCTCTATAAAAGTATGTAATGAATCATTGGGGAGGTCGACATTGTTGCAGATCTATGGTTTATGATTTTTATGATAGCAAACATTCCTTATTTCTCTACGATTGCCTTATGTGCTATTGTTTCAGGTCCACACGATCATACTATAATTTGGAACCAGCTCAAGATTAGGTAGACTAGGTCTGTGTCAGTTTGTAATTTTTTTCCTTTCTTGAGTCTGTTGTATTTGGTGTGGCATCAAATGATTTGTAACTTGGAAGATTTTCTGTTGTGCCCTAAAAAATTTCTATTTTTGGTAACATCGTCCGAGACGATATTTATATCATCCTTGATGATCTGACAAAAGTAGAAACCCTAACTAGGGCATCCTCATTAAAGCAGCCGTCTTTATGCAAAATACATCATCCTGGACGATTTTGTATCGGTCAGGACGATAGGCTCAATTCAGCAAGAATCTGCCGCCAGATCTATTTAGAAATAACCTATTTTTGGACATCATCCAGAGGATCGTCAAGGACTATAAAATATCGTCCAAGACGATCCAGGTCAATTTTTCCAAAATTTCTTTGGAATTTAAGGAAAGCAATTACATGGTCAAATCGTCCTGGACGATCTCAAGATCCCCCGGGCCAATTAGACATCGTCCAGCTTCATTTCAGGGTGATGTTCAGGACGATTTTCCTAATATTTGAACTAATCGGCTCGGACGATATGCCTATCATCCTGGATGATAATGTCGGCAACTTACATTAATGAGCTCGTTTTGAGAGCTTCTATTTAAGCTATGGCACGGCATTTTTTGTAAGTGTCTTTGGCAGCCATTGTAGCTTCGTTTTTTGTGGGGGAAACTTGAAGAGAGTGCTTGAAAGGGAGAGAGGAATGGGAGGAGTTTGAGAGGGAGAAGATCCTGTGAGGGGGAGGAACACAAAGGAGTGTGGAGGGGATTCCACACGGTTGCTCCGGTGAACTCGCACCTTAGTACCATCAGATTCAAGGCTTGTCTCGAGGTAAGTTCACCAAAGAAGAAGATCTCTTTGGTGTCAAAGGACCCGGCGACTCCGCCGCTCCGGGGAAAGTGGAAG